TTTGATAAGAAAGAAAAAGGTAATTTGATAAGAAAGAAAAAGATTAAAGTTGGTGTCTTTAATCCTAGTCATTGTGTATATATTCCTAAACTATTTATGAGTATCATATATAATTATACGTATTTGTGTTATATATATATATATATATATATTTGTGCAGGTTACGTTACGGAGGACAAGCTCTTTGGAGAGTGGAATTAGAAATGGCACTAAACAGGCCATAAAGGAGAAGCAAATTTCTGGGACGGTGTGTGGTTGTGGAAGGCCAATAGCCACCGGTTGTCGGAGCTGCCTCATGAGAGAAGTTTCCGACAGACTTCGGAATGACGGCTACAACAGCGCTGTCTGCAAGTCTAAGTGGAGGAGTTCGCCGGACGTTACTTCAGGTGAATAACACAATAATGATGTTACCATAGCAATTATACTAATTTTGGGTACCGTTGAATTTTCACGTCCGTTAAATTGGTAGCAAGCATGATACGAAATCTTACCACAGTACGTATATTTTTGGACCGTCCAATTTTTATTAAATTTTATGTTTTTTTTTAAAAAAATAATCCCGTTCAGTTTATTGAATACTTCTTTCTTCTAAGCTATAAGATTCTCATAAAAATATGATTACAATAATCGTTTATTAATAATTGTGTATACATAACTCTACTATAAGATGTAGATTTTAAATTGTGTTGAGAAAAAAAAAAGTTGATTCTCATCAAAATATTTTTAACTTATTTTCTTTTGAGTTGGTGGGCCAGATGATCTAATTTTGACCGTCGGCTCAGTAACGTGCACTCCTTATGTGCCCCGCATCATTACAATATTGTGTCACATATTTCGACTCAAGTGTTAATATATCATGTAACGTCTAAGTAGATATATTTAATAAGGAGGGCTTTACTCGACATTATTTAACGAGGACACGAAAATATCTTCCAATAAAGCTTAAAAATCCTATCTACTTTTCTTCTTGCACGTTTTTCAAATAGAATAATACAAAAAAATAATAATAATAAAATTAGACACATCACACTAGTATATATAGCCACGCCTATACATGATTATATCTTAGATATATAATTGCATAATAGCTAGCCAGGGAGTTACGCGGTTTTCAATATTATTTTTTCAATGATACCCCTTTAAAAATATTATCCATTAATTTATAATATATATATTTTTTTATGTTGAACAGGGGAGCATACATTTTTGGACGTATTGAGCAATTCAAGTTCAAAGAAAGGAGAAGTGAGGGTCATAATTGAGCTGAATTTCAGAGCCGAATTTGAGATGGCAAGAGCAAGTGAAGAGTACAATAGACTAGTCCAAAAGCTTCCCGAAGTGTTTGTGGGAAAAGTAGAGAGATTGCAATCCGTGATAAAGATAATGTGCTCAGCGGCCAAGAAGTGCATGAAGGAGAAGAAGATGCACTTGGGGCCATGGAGGAAGCAGAGGTACATGCAGGCCAAGTGGCTCGGCGTCTGCGAGAGAACGACGTCGTTGAGCCTCTCGTTGACGGGGTCAGACTCCGGCCGCCTGCCAAGGCCTAGGGTTAAGGCCGCGTCCATGCTTACTGTGGACTTGTTGGACATCATGCCCAATCTCCATTGCAAAGCAGTTGCTGTTGTGTGATATATATAGTATGATGCCCTAATATCGTTTGATCATGATATGATTTACAAGAGTTGCTTTTCTTTTTTCTTATTTACCAGTGGGGTCACTTTGTGAAGTGACGAGTGTACATAAAATATATATTTTATATATATATATATATAGATCTTTAAATAGTAGTTGATATCCCTTCATTTTCTCTAGTTTTTTTTGTTTTTTTGTTTTTTTTTTTTCATTTAAGATATTCTGTACTAATCCCCAAAATGGTTTCAATTTTTACCAAACTCTAGTTTAGTCTAGACTGGCGTTTGAAATGTTTAAAACTGACATCGATTTATCTAAATGTGGTAAATTAGTCTTTTCGTTACATTTATGTTACAATCTGGACAAAATAGATCAAAGTGCCATTGATGCTCCATTTAAGCGAGGATAAAATTAATGTTTTAATGACTTTTAGGACATGATTATGTGTCCGTTTGGGATAAATTGTGCTTGTACTTTTTAAGCAGTAGAAAAAAATAAGCATAGGTTAGAGCTTTTTTATTAGTGTTTGAATAATGCCTGAAAAAGTGCTATTATATTTAAGAAGAGTTTTTTTATCATATTTGGGTAAAAAAGTCAAAAACACTTATTGTTATAAAAAATAATATAATAAAATGATATGAATGAGATATTTAATCTGTTGTTCACAAATAAAAGGTTAAAAATGAAAATAAAAAAACTTTTGATAAGCACCAAGGAGATGATTTATTCTAAAAGCGCTTAAAAAATCTAAAAGCACTTTAAGGTTATCCATTCAAACAGATTCAAAAGCGCCTTTTAGACTAAATAACCTAAATGTGGATTTTTTTAAGCCAATCCAAACGGGCCCTAATTGATTGAATAAGAAGGGTTTAATAAGCATAGTGTTTATATTTATTATTTATACATGAGCACATCCACTATCTCTTTATTTTTGTATTTTGAGAATTTTGAACTTGAGATTTGTATTTATTTTCTTTTGTTAATAGAGTAGTTTTACTTTCTAGGGATTTGATAAGCCATGTTATGATTATTATGTTGTTTTTCCTATTTTGAATTGATTATTGATTTATTTTCATTTGTTGAACATTTCATCATTTGTTTAATGCTTGTGAATATTTGGCCAATATTTACATGATTTGAGAATCAATCTGAGACTGAGACTGGAATGTGAAGATTGATTTAGTCCATGATTGAAATGTCATTAGTACTTGTAGGATACGGATATACCTACAAGCTTGTGTAGTCTATTTCGAGTTTTCTTGTTCATAATGAATTTCGACAAGTTGAGGTTTTCACCGGGATGTAGAAAATCTGCTTGTTGGGGTAATTTATTAGTGCCTGAGAGAGATTAACAAATAAGTTAAAGAGACTCGACTACAAGAAAGGGAATAGGCTTCATTAGTTCATTTAAGAGTTTCATTTAAGATTAGTTAGGTGAATCGGTTCCCTAAAACGTTAATTTTTTATTGCTTATCAGTCGTTTTAATCCATAGAGTTAATCATTTCAGTACTTAATCTAAATTAATTAGTAAAGTCTTCATGAGATCGACACTCTTACTTACACTTGTTACTTAAGACTACGTGTATGCTTGCTTGAGAATTTTTCCATTTTATCATCGTTTTCGGCAATACTAGATCTTCTCTCAGGACTTTGCTTGATATTTTTGAGACATGCATGTGCAATTCTTTTGTTCTACTATTAGTAATGATTAGTCTCAAATCTTTGCTTCTAAACACATAAAATTTACTACAATGTATAACATATGTCAAATTTAACATTCGCTTTAAGAATAGTATTTATTAAGCATTGCGAGATGCTTTTATCAACAACAAATTAAAGATAATGAAAATGAAAAAAAAAAGGTGACAGTGGGACAGAAAGGACGACAAAATCACATGACACAAAAATAACTTAGAGCTAAAAGTTTTGATCACTCGGCCGGGCACGCCCCAACAGCATAAAGAGGATACTTGGGCTAATCCGACTCGACCCTAAAAATGGAAAGGTCGATCCAGCCGGACTCTAAAGCCCGACGAGCTTAGGGTAGACCCAGACTTTTACAAAAAAAAATTAAAAAAATATAATATAATATAATAGAAGCACTTTGGGATGGACCAAGTCGGCTTAAAAATAATTTTAGGCCTAAAATATCGACTCAGTCCAGCATGTGTTAGGACCAATAATAATAGACTTTGGGTCGGCACTTTGACCCAACTCAAACTTACAGCTCCATCAAAATCTAATATCATCTATCGTATCTATCATCTATTAAAAAAGAAACGACGATAAAAATATTTAAAAGACAAAATCTTTGACCACAATCCACAAAGCTTGCGACGAAATAACTTAAGACAAACGAAATTAAAAGACAACAAAACAACAGAATAAACAAAAAAAGCAAGCAACAACAATTCATTACGACAATGAAAACGACGACATCAAAAGTTGAAAGTACCATTACAAGAGAGAAGCGAACACAGGAAAACGACAATTTCAGAAGAAAGGACATGAAAGGCAAGCGACGACGAATTTGAAACGACAATTAAATATGTTAATGACGAAGATAATTGAAAACAAATATAAAAACGACAATGAAACAGAATAATAATAAAAAAAAATTCGATAGGGCCAATGAGCACGGAAACATCATTTGAAGTTGAAAATGGCATCACAAGCACAAACGACAAAAGAGTTTATCATGCCTTGCAGGCTTATGCGTCCTTCATAACCGGAGTGGATTGTTCATAACAGTAGTAAAATCTTACAAGGAGATATTTTTTTTTTTATTTTTTATTTTTTTTTGGGTGAACTTACAAGGAGTTTATGCTATATGAAAAACCTAGTCTATTATACAAGGAAATTGAAAACAAGTAACATTTGAAATCAACAGCTAGCTCTTGTTATCAACTAATTGTACTATAATAATAATAATAATAACAATAATAATAATAATAAAACCGTCAAATAACGCTGCAAAGGTTGTCCCCCACAGCACCATGGTCCAGTTGCGGAGAAAGAAACATCCAAAGGTCACAAATCGTCCTCATCATAGCCACAGTCATCATAACCATCCTCTTCTAACGGCCATTGGTAGCCTGCGGTTTCCTCGTCATAGGCCCCTTCTTCCATGTCTTCATATTCCTCACCAATTTCATCTTCCTTGTCCACAAAGTCCGACTTTTTCTCGTTACCGCCAGGGCCTTTTCCACTGCCATCATCTTCATCATCATCTTGACCTGATACTTTGGCCTTTTTATTAGGACCCACCTGCAAAGAGGATAAGCAATGAAATATAAGAGAACGAATATCATTAGGTCTTTACAGGTATAGTTCAACTGCCCTTGATTTCTTACAACTGCTATGATAAGCATCTGAAAGAAGAGTTTTAACTAGGGATTTTGCCAAATAACTCTCCTCACCAACAATCATTAGCAGGGATAGTTTTATATGGTCAAAACTCTAAAAGCAGTCTAAGCTAAGATAGGATGTTGAATTTTGCGAAAAGTTTCAAGGTTACAAAAGTTTAAACTGAAATAGCCAGATTCTCCGACTTGTAAGAAGCTATTCATATCACTATGCTTATAATCCTTCCCCCATCAAAACCTCAGTTAATCCTTTAGAGCCAGATTCTCCGACTTGTAAGAAGCTATTCATATCACTATGCTTATAACTAGCTCCTTCCCCCATCAAAACCTCAGTTAATCCCTTAGGTAGAGGTGTAATTTGAGTAGCATCTTGGTTCAGTGACTATAGGATACCAGAAGTCTCAACCATTGAATATAGTTAGAAGGATAAAAGATTCACATACATCACCAGAAAAGCATTTCTCCAACGCCTCGTAGTTGATCTTCGAACTGAACCGCTGTTGACATAAGAAAGAGTTATGAGTGAAATGGCAGCCGTGCAATAAAAACACACATGGTGAAATATGCAGAACTATGTCACCAACTATAAATAAAAACCATTAACCTTTTTATACAGATCATAATAGAGCCGAACTTTGTAATATAATACGTAAAACAAGGAGAGACAGACCTCCAATAAGCTAAATAGAAAAAACCAGAACTACCATTTATGCATTAAAAACAAAGGGGTAAAACGGATTCTATCATGGAGTGGGAGAACTGCATTGATCCGATATATCTCATTTACCTTCTTGCTTAGCATTTGACGGGCTGCTTCTGCAGCAGTTTGGGCAGGAGGTGCATTAGGATCTTGCTTTTGGCGTCGCTCCTAGTTCACATAGAATGAAGAGAGAAGTTAGAATTTGAAATTAGATTAAAATATGTGGGAAAGACAAACATTGTCAAAGAATAAAGACACAATTGATAATTATGATACGAGAAAACGAAATAAGTTTAATGCAATTTCATGTAGATAACATGATAATCAATATGCACCTAAATAAGGAAAGGAACATATAATGGAAGTTTCAGATACAGATTATAAAACAATTTTGCTGAAATATTTGACTTTTTTTTTTTAAGGATGTTTCATGAAAATGGTTGTAAAGCACGAGACGGGATAAGTTATTCATCAAACAGGAACTGCAGCAAATGATTTACTAATAAGGACCTTTCTTGGCTTGGGTGCAGAAAGACCCTCGCCAGCCTCCATCTTAGCAGCCTGTTCCTGAAAATCATATAGGATAGTCCATATAATCAACCGTTAGTTATCTGGAATACATGATTGTTTTGCAGTCCAGAGAAAGAGAGAGCTCCAACCTCCAAATACTCTCTGTTCATTTCTTCCCAGATAATCTTTTTGTAACGCGTCTCCTCCTCATTGTTAAGGTAGTCATTCACCTAAAAATCCAACCATAAGTTAATTAACTTAGACATTAACAAGCAAAATAGAATATTGAAAAGGCATTCAGGACGACAAGAATCAACCATGATAATACAACACTACTATAAACCACCTTTTTAAGACACATTAAAACCTCAGCGAAAATACATATAATGTATCTGCAAATAAGATTTGAAAACCATAAAGTGAAAAGAGGCTGAGGTGCACTTTGGGTTTTGAGTGTAGCGTCGCAATCCCAACTCCAGGACATGATATAGGACCAATATCCAAAAATTATTTGAAAAAAAAAAAAAAAATCTTCAAAAGGATTGGCTAAATCCTTATTTATGAGGTACGGTATAGAAGACTTCACAGTTCCTGGTGTTCTTACACAAAGTAACACATAATTCCTTCCTTCAGAAAATACACATAAGCCGCTTCCATCAAGAAAGAGACTGTGAGTTGAGGTCTAATTGACCCAACTAACTTCCCAACTATACTCTGTTCATACAACGAAATGTACAAAAATTTAAGCTGCAGCATCATATTACATACCTCAATATCATCAATATCAGAAAGACCATCAGATTCTTCGCCAGACATAGTACTTGCATCGAATTTATTACAAGTATCAGAAGCACCATCAGTTGTTCCATCTGAAGCCGCTGAGACAAAACATGGTTGCAAACTCAGCACTATAACAAAATATTGAACTTAATTTATGATAAGGACTGTGTCGTTTGGAACAAAATCAAGAAAAGATTGAAAGAGTGAAGAAAAGAATCACGGTAGAACTTTATTAATTGTCAGAATGTATACTCCAATCGGCAGAACTTCGAGGGTCTGCTTCCTCCCCTTACTTGGAATGTATCCAAGATTTGTACAATTCCCTGTTATTTCCCGATCCCCTATCTATCCCTCCTGCCCTCTTTTATACACTTTCCCTCTAACAAACAAACTTTCTCAGTAAGCTAACTAATACTAACACTTCCACAGCAAGCTAAAGACAGCCTTTCCCAAACCAGACCCCCCACCCACCCCCCAAAACCCGTTTATTCCTCCTAACATACACTTGCTTGAGTAGGGGCTTATCAATTTAATGAAAAATTTGCTTTCTACAAAAAACTCAGCACTTACTATTAAGTTTTGTGGTGTCCGATCTCTCATGCTGGGCCTTCTGACTGGGTTCAGTAAAGGATTCAATATTTTCGTCCTAAATAAAAATAGGATACATGTACATTAGTAAGAAATCAATCAGACAGGCAAAAGGTGCAAAAGGCACGAGAAGAAAATGTTGACAGACAATAAGAACGAAAATCGGAAAAGTACAAGTAACGAGAAGAAACAAGTAAAAAGAATACTTGCTTCACTTTTAATGAATGATTATAAAATTTGTGTCTATGTGCTAAGGAAAAATCACAGAATTTGCAAACCCATCATTGAGGATGAGGCTATGGAGATAGTAAATAGCTACCTCCCTAATTGCTACTTTATTCATAATCTAGAAAAAGGGAAAAAAATGGGTTAGGTAAGCGACTGACTGTTTCATTTCCAAGCTCAGTTGGTTTTTCCTTGTTTGCAGGCACAAATCCAACATCAGATTCATCTGATTTCTTAGCAGATTCGTTGGCTGCTCTCATTTTTTCAGCCTGCTGGAAGGCTGGAGGATCTGATCCGCCTCCAAGACCCCCAGAAATTTCGATGAACTAAAAAGGAGAGAAAAAAAGTATTAGAGGCATAAGCACAGGAGAATGAGCTAGTGGAAAATAGTAGAAAGGACTTACATCTTCGTAACAACTTTGACAAAGTCCATGGGCAAAAGGAGGTTGCCCACTATCTTTATGTCTACAAAGCAATTCCTGGGACTTTTGGGACCCCAAAGATGGCAATTTGCTCTTCTTCAGCTCCTTAGCAGAATTGTCTAGCTCCTCAATCTATTCAAAAGTAAAAAAAAAGTTTTAAAAAAAAAAAAAAAAAAAAAAAAAAAAAAAAAAAAAACAGGAACAAAAAATCCCAGACATAAGTGAAACCATCATTCATTTTTACAAAAAATTAAGAAGAAATTAACCATCATCGAGATTCTTCTAGATTATGATTGCTACTACATCTAGCTCAAGCATCTAAATATTTAAAAGATTGTAGTCAATGGAACAAGATCATGTCAGGACGGTAGCAAGTAACAACTTACAGTTAAACTTCCTGAATCAGTGTTCTCGAACTCAATCAAACGTTTGGTCAACGTTACTTCACAAACATGAACAATTTTTACCTAGGGAAAAAAATAGAAGAAATAATCATCACGCAAGGTGCAAAAGAAAAGGAAACTGCAGTTTTTTTTTTTTTTTTTCTTTTTTTTTTTTTTTTTTGAACAACAAAGTGCAATAGTAATAGAAGAAACAAGAAAAATTCCTTCAAAGTTGTTCAAAACTCGCACTGAAAACAAGTAATTTTACCAAGTTCTAGATCAGCAAGTAATAATAACTTATTGATGATAGAAGTAACACCAGAAGTCTAACATAATCAACAACAGAAAATTAGTTTCTAACAATCTTTAAGAATTTGTTTTAGAAAAAGGAAATATGTTTAAAGAGAAAAAAAAAAAAAAGCAAAATACTCGTTTGTGTATGAAAGAAACTTCCCCCATGAAAATATAGCAGCAAAATTAAAAAGCATTTCATATGAAAAGATGGACTTACAATATCTGATTTTGAAAATTGAAACCCATGTGCAAGAGCAGAAATGTATAATGCTGCGCCACACAGCCCACTAGGTTTCCTGCCCGTCTGTGGATAATATATCATTAGGGTAAGAATTATCATCATAAAAGGAATGAGTGCAATATGATAACAATTATTTCAAACACAAATATACCTGCATCCAATCTCGCTTCATGCTGGCTATGATGTGCATTGCAGTTCTGGAAACCTCAACATTTCTTCCCTTTAACAACGCTGCAAGCCAGGAATGAAAATGATTTTGTTACTACATTATGTAATTGAATCGAAGCTTCAGATTTAAAATAAACCAATAAAGCAGTAAGCAAGTCTACAATTCACAATTGCAGGCAATAAAGCTGAAAGGATTGCGGTAGCTTACTTTCAGTAAAACGAGGTATGAAAAGGGTGGGATCAACAGGTCTCTTAATCAAGGCGTGCTCCACGAGGCTTAGTAATTGGCAAAGCTGCAAAAATACAGAACCTAGCACATACCTGTAGATTTTACAAGAAGATTTAGTAAATAATACATGCAAAAGGTGACATTTTCAACTCTATTTGTACTGCTAAAAGTAGAAGTATACAAATTTGAAAATATTCTAACACGTTATTGCTTACACATTTATTGCCAAAGTCTCCGAGAAGTCTATAAGTAAAAATGGTTTTGGTGGTTCAGCTGTCCTGCAACAAAGGTTATCGTCCCGTTAATAAAATGTAAAACAGTCAACAGAACGTAGTAGAGTCATATATACAAGCTACAACACTCCAAAAGGGCAAACAATGAAGTATAATAATTGATTTCTATAATCTCAAAGGGCACAGAAGTCTAACAAACATGAGACTTTTATATCTTAGCGCGCAAAAAAAAAAAAAAAAAAAAAAAAAAAAAAGAGAGGGAGAGACTTTTATTGCCTTTTAAGTAGACTTAAGAACCAAATAACAACATAGAAATTGAAGATTTAACGAACATTTGTGTTAAGATTAAAATAAGAAACGTACCATCAATTGACTATATTTTGACCGGAAGAAATATAACATCAACTTTATGAAAAGAATGAAAAAAAAAAAAAGAAATCAAAATTTATAGTTGGAAATAATGATATTAACAATAGACACTAAGCTAAGTTCCGAAATTCTTCTAAGTATTTTTCTTTTTCCTGCCAAATTTGAAATTTCTTCCACTGTAAATAATAAATAGTTTAAACAAGAAGAAAAAGACAGCCTAGAAGGCTAGAACTATGATTCAAAACCAAGAATGAAAGGAATGCAAGGGATAAAGCTTACTCACCGACAAGCTATATACAGACAAGCAGCTGCAACATGTGGCGTTCTACGACCTCTAGTGAAATTACGATGAACTGCGATCTGCATATTAGTGATATTACTACGATGAACTACAATCTGCATATAAGTGATACTGTGTTTTGAATGTATATTTAAATGAAAAAAAAATAAGAAAAAGAAATAAAATCAAATGCTCACGGTGTAGATTCTAGAGGCTGGCTGAATAATTGAATCCTGTATGCTCAACCTTAAAGCAATGCATCTTATTTCATATTCTCCTGAAAAATAGAACAAAAACGTCCATATTTAAATGATATGATCACAATCGCATACAATAAAATGTGGTTTCTATCATTCCACGCCGCTAAAACCATGGTGGTGATTTTGCCATCTATCCTCAAAACAAAGAAACAAGATATCCATGTATACTTACGACTAAAACTAATACCAGAAAACAGCAGATAGTACGCATATAACATCATGAAGTCATTTATATGCTAAGTTTTATACAGAAACATAACACTTATTAGTTTTTTTAAGAATAAATACTCGTAAAAGAAGATGTTGATCCAGGTGTCACTTGTTCATTGGTTACAAGAATTAGTACACAGCAAGTTGGCTCTGGTTTGTTAAGATGTTAATAAGCTGTTAGAGGGTAGTATGGTAATTGAGCATTGTAATTACTTACTTTGATTGAATTAGATAAAAAGGCTTGATATATGTTTTAGTCAGTGGTCTAGTTTAGTGGGCGGTGCTGTGTGTAGATACGAAAGGCAATTAGAAGTTAGAGAGAAAAGGGGATTAGCGCTGGGTGTTCTTTTCGGTTCTTGGTGAGGGAGAAACTGAATATGAGATGAGCGTTTGTAATCCTGAATTTCTAACGGTGATTGGAATAAGAGTTCTTGAGGTTTTTCCAGATAAAGTCTTGTGTATTTTGTACTGGTACTTTATTATTTGATTTCTTGGTGAGGTTTTTTCTTTGGATCTGTTTTCACAAGTGGTATCAGAGCCCTCAAGATGACGGTGGCGAAATTTGACATTGAGAAATTCAATGGTAAAAACGATTTCGGGCTATGGCGGTTGAAGATGCGAGCGCTCCTCGTTCAACAAGGATATGAAGCTGCTCTCGCCGGCGAAAAGAACCTTCCAACGACTCTCTCCGACAAAGAGAAGAAAGAAGTTCTCGAGAAAGCCCACAGTATGCTGATTCTATGTTTAGCGGATAGGGTTCTGAGAGAGGTATCGAAGGAGAAATCGGCAGCCGCTATCTGGGCGAAATTAGAAAGTCTCTACATGACTAAATCCCTGGCAAATCGATTGCACTTGAAGCAGAAGCTGTACACGTTCAAGATGCAACCCAACTGCTCGATGGAAGATCATCTCGATGAGTTCAACAAAATCATTCTTGATCTTGAGAATATTGAAATCAAAATCGAGGATGAGGATCAAGCTCTTCTTCTTCTTAGATCGCTACCATCTGAGTACGAAGTTCTCCATGATACGCTAGTCTATGGTCGCATTTCACTGACTCTAGAAGAAGTTCAAACTGCGTTAATGGCAAAGGAGCTCAAGAAGAAGTCAGATGGAAAGAAGAAGAGAATGGGGATAATCTGTTTGCTAGGGGAAGATTCGAAAAGAGAGAAGAAAAGCCAAGGGGAAAGCAGAGATCGAAGTCAAGATTCAAACGTAAGTGTTTTCATTGCCATAAAGAGGGACATCTCAAGAGAGATTGCCCTGATAGGAAGCAAAAGAAATCCAAGAAGAAGGATTGCGATAGTGATTCTGGTGACATTTCAATAGCATCTGATGGTTACGAATCTGCGGATGTGTTGGTTGCTGCGAATAAGAAAACTGAAGATGGATGGGTGATTAGTGCATACAAATACACCCTAAATACTGCTTTTGATTTATATAATATTAAAATATTTAAGCTTTAATTAAACAATTCCATTATTTTTATTCATAATATTTTTAATTGGAATTTGTCTAGTTTTTGCTTAATTATTTACAGATGAAAGCAGTGTAAAAAGCTACACAAGAAAAAGCCATGAAATTCATATTTTTAAGCTTTTCAACCGAGCCACACGAGCCAGAGAGAGCCGCGTCAGCCGAGCCAAGCCACTGTCTTTTCCCTCCGCGTGGGCCCCAGCCCTTCCTCACTTCCCGAATCCTCCTCGCGCGCGTCACCAGCAAGCCTTCTCTCAGCGCGCGCGTTTCTTCCACGTAAACATCACCGCGCGTCTCAGCTTTCTCCCCAGTGGGTCCCACACCTGCGCTGCCAGCCTGCTCCTTCCCTCTGCGCGTGACAGCTGGCTTCCGCGGGTCCCAGCGGTCTCCAACGCCAGCGCCCTTCCTCCACTCCGCGCTCGACACGTGACGGCCTTATTCCTTTCCTCCAAACGAGCTTTGACACGTGTCCAGATGAAGGCTGAATCTGAATTTCTTCCTCAAAAATCAGAGCGAGTTGCCAGATTTCTTCCCCAAATCAAATATATGATTTATCCTAATTTATGTGTAAGTTTATTTTGTTTCCCTTTCTTTTGTAATTTCTATTTTTATTGTTTGTTTCCTTATTTGACAGGCAACTTCTGAACACTATAAATAGAGGGGTTAGCCTAAGGTTTTTGTAAGCTTTTAATATTCAGTTTTCTGTTGTCTTGCTGTCAGTCTCATATCTTCTCTCTAGAACTTGTGAGAATGTTTTGCAAGCTAGGCTAGAGTTCTCTTGGTGAGGTTAGAAATGAACTTCTGTTGAGCGATCCAATTTAGAGTTTTGATTCCTTGTGCTGTAAAGTTCAACATCTGAATGAATTAAATCTCATCTATTTTTCTATTACTTTTCAAAATATTGTGTGCCAATTTTTATATAAATTCAGTCACGCTTTTTTTATGTAATTCTGTCATGCATTGTTTTGTCATTCAAATTATTTTACAAATTGTCTTTTACTGCAATATTGTCAAATTGATATATTGTCGATTTTGGATAACTTGTAATAATAATATTTTCTGAGCCAACATAGAGATTTAATTTATTCGATTCTTTTATTTTGTGAATCAAAACTTAAATTGGTGAACGAAGCATTAGGGATTCTCGACACCTTACCGTTTTCTTCATACAGATTCTCCTTTTTATTTTATTTGCAACAAAAATCTTAAAAACTCTCATTTTTCTTTAATTCACTTTTCTCTTATGCCCTTATTCTGTTAGTCATTCTTGTTATTTTGTTATCTATCTGTGGATACGACCGCCCTTCTGTGCTACAATCGACCGCTTGTGAACATCACTTTTGGGCGTTAATCAAATTTTAGCGCCGTTACCGAGGAGGTGCTATTAACAAAACTGATTAGTACATTTTTTAGCCAAAGAGGTAAGTATACATATATATATATATATATTTAGTTTCTTATACGTGTCTTTAGTTTCTCATAAAAAAAAAAAAGGGTTAGTTGTTGGCTGCCGTGTCCTTATTCAAGTAATTCATAATTGTTGCGTGTATATATATATATATACTCTTTTTTTTTCTCTTGTCGTCCCTTATTCAAAAAAAAAAAAAAACGTTACCTTTTCTCTTGTTCATTTTCTTTCTGTAGTCGTGTTGCTAAAAAAAAAGAAAAAAACAACAAACTTTTGTTTACTGTATTTCTTTCTTTCTTACCTTTCTCACGTTCTTCCTCTGTGTTTTCCCTTGTTTGTTTCTGTGTTAACCTTTTTAACATTTGTTACCTTTTTCAATTTTTTTTATTTCTGTAGTTTTGTTGCTAAAAAAAAAAAAAACTCACACTTTTAGGATTTGTTTTTATTGCATTTTCCCTTTTAGTTTTAAAATTGATTGTGATTTGATTTTGTAATCTTTTATTTTTGATAGATTAGGATTTTATTTTGCTTCCATGTTTGAGTAATTTAATTGTTAACTATCATATTATTGCCTAATTTAATTTCTCCTTTTATAGTTTACATTAATTCTTAGGATTATAATTAAGATTGTAATTAATTGACTATTCCTAATCTAGAAATTTCATAATTTGGTAGAGTTAGGCTTTTGACCTTGGAATAGTTTCCATTAATTAGATTTCATGTCATAATTTATTCAATAAAATTTAATAAATGATTTTGAGGATAATTGTGTGGTTACGTAAAAAGTACAATCTGAGGGAGTTCTGTCTAGGAAAGTTGGTACTTAAGTGGACCTCGCCCCACCAATCTTTCCTGAAAACGTTGTTCTGTCTAGGAGACTATTCATTAAGCCAAGAGCTATAGTCTTTCCTGGGAGCACTCTTGGTGGTTACAATTTACGTTACTATATAGTTATTTTCTTTTGTTTTGATTAAAAATAAAAAAAACAAAAATTAAAAAATTAAAAAAATTAAAAATTAAACAAAAAAATCGTTTTGGGTGAATGCATCGGTATAGAGACGAGCTAGGGAGATTCGCTCAACGTCCAGACCTAGAAACCCCTAGTGAGATTCTATCCGACTCGTCTTCTACGCCTCCGTCTTCACACTCGTCGTTGGAATTCGCATTTGAAAATCTATTCGCAATGGCACAACACGAGGAAGTTCAGCAGAAGACGTTGCAAGATTATCTACACCCAACGCGCACGGCCACCCCATCGTGCATCATGTTCCCACCAAATGCACCGCCTACGGATTTCAAGCCAGGCATGATTGCACTTCTCCCAACCTTTCACGGGTTAGAGAACGAGAACCCTTATGTACACATCCGGAAGTTTGAAGAGGTGGTGGCCACCTTTCACAGCCGTGCTGAGGCCACAAATACCGTCAGATTAAAGTTTTTCCCTTTCTCTCTGAAGGACAAGGCCAAAAGATGGCTGTATTCTCTTAGGCCCAAGGCTATTGGTACGTGAGAAGAAATGACGACGACATTCTTCAACAAGTATTTCCCACACCATAAGACTAATAATTTGAAACGACATATCTCGAATTTCGCTCAGAAGGAAAACGAAACTCTCTATCAAGCTTGGGAGCGTTTTAAGGATCTGTTAAATCTGTGTCCCCACCATGGATATGAAAGTTGGCCGCGCGTAAGTTATTTCTACGATGGACTCACAATCCGAGAGTGCCAATTTGTTGAGATGATGTGCAATAGAGATTTTCTCCAAAAGGATCCTGAAGAAGCTATCGAGTACCTGAATGAGTTAGCTGAAAAAGCTCATACTTGGACTAGACCAAGTGCTACTGAGAGTACTAGTAGGTCCCGACCAGCTGGAGTTTATCAATTAAGGGAAGAGGACAGCCTCAAGACTCAAGTTGAAGCTTT